GCGCTGCTGCAGGGGGGCCGGCGAGAGGGCGGCCTGCCTCTCCGCGCCGTGGGTGCCCCGCGCCGTCCAGCGGGGACCCCAGGCCTCGCTCACCCGTGGGCTCCGGGCTCCCGAGCTGAGCGGCGCGCGGACCTCTCCCCCCGCATTGCTTAATTGCAGGCCTGGGGCTGCCGGCAAGTTTGGGAGCGGAAGTCACCTGGAATTCGAGGTGGGCTCTAAATCCAACCCTGGTGGATTTTGTAGGCTAAAGGCGGGAGCTTGGGGGGGTGGAAGGAGGGCGGGCTTTGCAGCCCGGACTGCTTCACGAGCTTGCTGTGTGAACTTAGCCCCTCTGAACCTCCCTGTCCTCCTTTGTAGCGCGGAATTAAGCTTCCCTCGCCAACGAGAGTGAAGACCAAATGGGATGAACTTGATGAACTGCAAAGCAATTTGCAAAGATTATCACCACTGCAAAATGTATACCAGTGATTTTGAATGAGTTGTAGAAGATCTGAAGCTTCCTCAACAGCATGTAATTAGGGCAGTGACTTGACGCTGGGTGTTGTTACCCAGAGGACTCTAATGCCAAGCCTACCAGAGTCCAACCTTACCTGAGCAGGAGAATCACCTGGGCGCTTGTTAAAACCGCAGGCATCGGGATTCCTCTTCAAACCAAAGGAATCAGACTCCCTAGGGGAGGGGTGTCTCAGGTGGTTCTATGATCAGGTAAATGTGGATAACTCTGCCTTGGGCAGCAGGAAAACAGAGCCTGTGCTCTGAGAAGTTTAATCTAGCACTCTGAAATAGGCGAGAAACTGGAACTATCTTTTCTTTCAGTCCCCCCCACCCCATTCCCCGCCCCCCGAACATCTAGTACAGGGATACAGGGTGATGTTCAGAAAGCAGGTATTAATAAACTAGCCCCTATTAGGCATGCCACATGTAGCAAATAAAAATACAGGATGCCCAGTTAAAATTGAATTTCAGGTGGGGCCGGCCCCGTGGCTTAGTGGTTAAGTGCGTGCGGTCCAATGTAGGCGGCCCGGGTTCGGATCCCGGGCGCACACAGACGCACTGCTTCTCCAGCCATGCTGAGGCCGCGTCCCACATACAGCAGCTAGAAAAATGCGCAACTATGACATACAACTATCTACTGGGGCTTTGGGGGAAAAATAAATAAAATTTAAAAATAATAAAAAAATTGAATTTCAGGTGAACAACAAACAATTTTTTAGTATCAGTATGGCCCATGCAATATTTGGGACATACTTATGCTAAAAAAAAAAAAATGGTTGTTTATCTGAAATTCAAATTTAACTGAGCATCCTGTATTTTATCTGGCAACCCTCGCCCCAAGGGTTTGGCAGAGGGAGTGATGGAGTAAGAACTCCGCTCAGGTAGTGTCAGACTTGGGGACAGGGATGATAAGAGCTCCTACATTATTTCTAAATGATACTGTTGGACAATAGTGTAGGTTTACTGTCATTTATCCTTAACCCCATTCTACACACACACACGGCATATTCACCCAAAAACAAAGGAAAATAAAGGCGGATTTAACTATAGGTAAATTAGAAACATTAATTAAGTAAAAATAGCCAAGATTTAAATGTAAGCAATAGACTGGGGAAAGTATTTGCAAGAACCACCATATAAAGTGTTATTTTTATTATATATAGATTTAACACAATAGGAAAACAGAAGTCAATTGTAGATGAGCAAGACACATTAATAAACAATCTACTAAAAATAGAGGTGGAGGGCTGACCCGTGGCTTAGCGGTTAAGTGCACACGCTCCACTACTGGCGGCCCGGGTTCGGATCCCGGGCGCGCACCGACGCACCGCTTCTCCGGCCATGCTGAGGCCGCGTCCCACATACAGCAACTAGAAAGATGTGCAACTATGACAACTATCTACTGGGGCTTTGGGGGAAAAAAAAAAAAAGGAGGAGGATTGGCAATAGATGTTAGCTCAGAGCCAGTCTTCCTCAGCATAAGGAGGAGGATTAGCATGGATGTTAGCTCAGGGCTGATCTTCCTCACAAAAAAATGAAATAAAATAGTAAAAATAGAGGTGGAAAATACAATTAGGAAACCAATATATTGCAAACAGCTCCAAGAAATTCAAAGTAAAATATACTTTGCATATAAAGTTGGCAAAAATTAATGACATTAAAGGCTAGCAAGGATGCTGTGTGATAGCACACACAACTTTTTAGGTAAGTAAGCAATTTGACAATATCAAAACCTTTAAAATGTATCAAAACCCTTAAAGTGTATCAAAATGTTTAAACCCTTTGATTTTGAATTCTGTTACGGGAATAAATTCAAAGGAAAAAAGCCATAATGTAGAAAATACTCTTTATGAACAAAGATTTTAATTTACATCATTTTAATTTATAGGGAAAATATAATGTACCAGAGTATACCACATAGGAGGAAAAACATCCTAGAAACTCTAATTTTCCAAAAATAAAGAAGCAGAAATTAAACTAAGACATATACTCTATGATATATTACATATGCAACCTTTAAAAATAATGGTTACTGTTCATATGTAATGTGACCATAACTGTATATATATTTTCAACCTGTATGTGGAAAAAGGACTGGACAGGAAATGAAGTTGAATTTGGGTGGTGGGGCTTGCTTTATTCTTAATTTTTCCACCTTTTTATTAAGCATAAGTTAATTTTATAATAGAAAAAAATTAATGTGATACCCCCCAAAAAACAAAAGACTTTTCTTACCATAAAATTAGTTTTATGGACTCTAGAATCTCATTCTTGCACAATCATATTCTGAATGCTGAGACTATCTAAATATTAAAAGCTCCTTAAAACATTTTCCCTGAATATGAACACCTTTCCAAACTCTGCGTGTCATCTGTTAACCTTGGGGTTATCTTTAGCAAATTCTTAGTTCTACGCTGAATTTATCAACTTGTCATTCACGTAACTATGTACTAATTAAAGTGCCTTAAATATTGATTTTTTTTTTTTTTTTTTGTGAGGAAGACCAGCCCTGAGCTAACGTCTGATGCCAATCCTCCTCATTTTGCTGAGGAAGATTGACCCTGGCTTAACATCCGTGCCCATCTTCCTCTATTTTATATGGGACGCTGCCGCAGCGTGACTTGACAAGCGGTGCATCCGTGCGTGCCCGGGATCTGAACCTGCGAACCCTTGGCCACTGCAGCAGAGCGCATGCACTTAACTGCTGCGCCACCGGGCTGGCCTCTAAATATTGTTTTTAATTCAGCAAATCATATGAAGCTTTGGGCTTTTCTCCCTTTGGATTAAACTCTAAAAGGAGACAAGCTTAATAGCATAGATTTTTCTTTAATGTGTAGTAAACTATAATATAACATTTACCATCTTAAGTGTACAGTTCAGTAGTATTAAATACATTCACATTGTTGTGCAGCTCCAGAATCTTTTCATCTTGCAAAACTAAACTCTATACCCGTTATAACTCCTCATTCCCCTCGTCCCCCACAAGCCCCTGGCAACCACTATTCTACCTTCTGTCTCTATAAATTTGACTACTCTAGGTACCTCACACAAATGGAATCATACAGCATTTGTTCTTTTGTGAGTGGCTTATTTCACTTAGCATAATGCACTCTGGACTTAACCTTGTTGTAGCATGTGTCCCAGAATTTCCTTCCTTTTGAAGGCTGAATAATATTCCATCGTACAAATATACCACACTTTTATCCATTCATCTGTTGATGGACACTTGGGTTGCTTCTACCTTTTGGCTGTTATGAATAATGCTGCTATGAACATGGATGTACAAATATCTCATCGAGACTCTGCTTCCAATTCTTGTGATTATATACCCAGAAATGGAATTGCTGGATCATATAGTAATTCTATTTTTTATTTTTTGAGGAATACCCATACTGTTTTCCATAGCAGCTGCACCATTTTACACTCCCACCAACAGTGCAGAAGGATTCCAATTTCTGCACATCCTTACCAACACTTGTTATTTGGGATTTTGTTTGTTTTTGATAGCAGCCATCCTCTTAAGTGTGAGGCAGTATCTCATTGTGGTTTTGATTTGCGTTTCTCTAATGATTAGCGATGTTGACCATCTTTTCATGTGCTTATCAACCATTTACAGTCTTCTTTGGAGAAATGTCTATTCAAGTCCTTTGCCCATTTTTTAATCAGGTTGTTTGTCTTTTTGTTGTTGAATTGTAAGAGTTCCTTATATATTCTAGGTAGTAATCCCTTATCAGATATACGATTTGCAAATATTTTCTCCCCTTCCTAGAGTTGCCCTTTCACTCTGTTGATTGTGTGCTTTGATTCACAGAAGTTTTTAATTTTGATGAAGTCCAATTTATATATTTTTTCACTTTCTTGCCCTTGCTTTTGGTATCATATCCAAGAAAGAATTGCCAACTCTAATGTCATGAAGCTTTTCCCCTATGTTTTCTTCTAAGAGTTTTAGAGTTTTAGTTCTTACATTTAGGTATTTGGTCCATTTTGAGTTAATTTTTGTATGTGTTGTAAGGTAAGGGTCCAACTTCATTCTTTTGCCTGTGGATATCCAATTTTCCCAACACCATTTGTTGAAAAACATAGACATCTCTTTTTTTTCATTTTTTAATTGAGGTAACATCGGTTTATAACATTATATAAATTTCAGATGTACATCATTATATTTCAATTTCTGTGCAGGCTACATCATGTTCACCACATCTATGGACAGCTAATTTTTGACAAAGGAGCCAAGATCGTACAATGGAGAAAGGAAAGTCTCTTCAATAAATGGTGTTGGGAAAACTGGACAGCCACGTGCCAAAGAGTGAAAGCAGACGATTATCTTACACCATCCACAAAAAATTAAACTCAAAATGGATTAAAGACTTGAATGTAAGACCTGAAAGCATACAACTCCTAGAAGAAACCACAGACAGTACGCTCTTTGCTCTTAGACACTGGTCTTTGCAGTATCTTTTTGAATATTATGTCTCCCCAGGCAAGGGAAACAAAAGAAAAAATAAACAAATGGGACTACATCAAACTAAAACGCTGCACAGCGAAGGAGACCGTCAACAGAATAAAAAGACAACCTAACCATTGGGAGAAGATATTCGCAAACCATATATCTGATAAGGGGTTAATATCCAAAATATATAAAGAACTCATACAACTCAACAACAGACAAACAAACAGCCGGATTAGAAATAGGCAGAGGATCTGAACAGACATTTTTCCAAGACACCTGTCTTTTAACGGCCAGGGTTAAGAGTGGAAGGAACGGATGGTGGGAGCCTAAGTTGCTCGTGGAAGTGAGAGGTAAGATAATTGGAGAAAACTGATGTCAGAGTCTAAACACTTGGAGGAAAGTTGTGGGTATCTTTGGGGGGGGCGGGCAGAGAAGAAGAAAGAATTTTCCCCCTCTCTTCAGTGCTTCCCACATAGGCAGAAGTGTCTGGCCTTCAAAGATCTATGCCTGTCTTAGAGCAGAAGTGTCAGGCCTCTGGGACTCCCTGACTTGGAGCGGGAGCAGCCAGCCGCGGGGCCAGACAAAGCCGGAACTGCCTTGCCTTGGAAGGCTTCTATTCTGACCCTACAAGTAAAGCCAGAGAGCATCCTCCATGGAGTTGAGAAGCAAACCAAGGCCCGAGTAAACTGAGCAAAATTGATGATAGTTAAGGTTTAAAAGAGGAAACCAATTTATGCCTTGATATTGTATTTCTTTGAAAGCAAAAATATCAAAATTAGTATGTAAATGTGGGTAATTAATGGTCAGTCACTCTTGACGCCATTATTTTAATCCTAAGTCATCAATGAGGCGCCTGCACTGGGCGTGTTTTCTCTCCGACCCTCTCAGTTAGTGGGGCCTGGAGTGTCTTGGCGGGCCCTCCTGTCCAGATGGGCAGCCCTGAGCACCTGGTAGCCACTGCGGGACTGATGCTTAGGAGGGATTAACTAAGCCAACTCCTCTTTGTAAATTCAACCATGACTCAGTCATGGAAATTATACTCATTCAACAGAGGCACAAATGGTTGTTAAGACTTAATTGAT